TGGGAGTCTCTTCCGCTGATCCCTCTCTGGGACCCTGTTCTAGGATCTCACACAGGGCCCTTGTCTCTGAAGTGGAGAATGAAAGGAAGTGGGTTCTGTTCCAGGCCTCCATTCATCTGTAGACGAGCTCCATACGCACAGACCCCAGAGGACACAATCAGGGGAGTCGCCCACTAACTTCAATGGGCTTGGATCAGGCCCAGATATAGGCCCAATAAAAAGATGGCTCCTGCTGTCCCTGCAGCAGAGTGTGGAAAGGAGAGGCTCTTTGCTGTGGCATTATTTCCTCCAGGTGCAGAATGGACAGTAGGGGATTTCCACTTCAGTTCCTGGAGATTTAGGGAAGCTGATCCCCATTCTGTGGCCTCACCCTCACAGCTGGCATGAGAGGCAGCAATTGGGCTTGAGACATGGCCCTTAAAATCTGCCTTCAAGTTGATTCTCCATAATTCTCCATCTTGGATGAAGAATAACATTTCCTTTCCCCACTATGGCAGATCATTTTGGTTTTGCGCTGCCCATTTCAATGTTTAAAATTTTCCAGGATTAGGAAGGAATGAGGGGATACAGATACATGCTCTTTAATGCTTTTGGGGGTGCAATTCTCCCCCTGGGCTGAGGGTCAGCAAAAAGTCATGTACTTCTTACATCCCATTAAAATCCAGAGCCTTGGAGAGTGCAATGAAATTTTGCAATGAATGTGAAGAGCTGTAATTTTTCCTGCTGTCTCCAGTGGAGTACAAGCAGCGGCGGCTCCAGGCACCAGCGCTCCAAGTGCGTACCTGGGGCGGCAAGCCGCGGGGAGTGCCCTGCCGGTCGCTGCGAGGGTGGCAGTCAGGCTGCCTTCGGCGGCGCGCCTGTGGGAGGTCCACCGGTCCCGTGGATTCGGCGGTAATTCAGCGGCGGGTACGCCGAATCTGCAGGACCGGCGGACCTCCCACAGGCGCACCGCCGAAGGCAGCCTGCCTACCGTGCTTGGGGCGGCAAAAAAGCTAGAGCCTCCCCTGAGCGCAAGCATGTAGATTAAAATTTAAATCTTTGACAGAGGATTTAAGTAATGATATTTTGAATACAGCTAAACTTTGTGTTGCCTACTAGACTAAGAAGTTTATTGTGATATTGATTGATGACCATCAAGCCTGTAATCTTAGCTTTGTGAACTTCTTTCTCCATCTTTGTTCATAGCTCAAGTATTGGAGGAAACCAATGATTGTGAAATTAGTTAAGAGTCCCAACTTCTAAAGCAAGTAAACTTTGGGCTTAAAATGTGTTGGGTTTTATGGGCCAGATCTTCAGCTGCTATAAATCGACAGCTCCATTGACTTGAATGAAGTATTCTGATTTCCAGCAGCTGCGGATCTGACTCAACAAATGTATTATTCAAATGAAACGCGTATGCGATGGACAGTGTTCAATGTGGGTTTTTTTAGAAGCACCATAACTGAATTTTGGGTTGGCAAATATTGTCATACATGTATAGTTGTTTGGATTTTTAGGTGCTTTATAATTCCACTCTTGGTGCCGTCATTGTGTCAGATTAGTTTTGTCGCCTCTTTTCTCTTTACAAACATTAACTAAGTAACCTTCCTCATCCCTGGGAGGTACAGAAGGGTCAGTATCATCCCTTTTTGGTACATGGGGAAACTGAGGCACGGGGCGGGGACGTGAGTTGCCCAGCATCACACAGTGAGTGAGTGGCAAAGCCAGGATGAGAAATCTATTTCTGGTTTCCAGTCCCATACTCAAACCATTAGACCACACTGCTTATCCTTTGCATAGTTTTGAGTATATTTATTGACTTTATTAAAACAACAAAGTTCCAAAAGGAACCCCCAAACCTTTGCTAATATACAATTTGAGTCAAGGATTTATTTCTGTATTTAAAAGAACTAGATTCATTACAGCTGAGCATTTACATGTTAAAAAGGAAGGCAATTCTCAACTGAGGTTCTGGCACCAACCTTTAATCTGGCCCCAGCTACTTCTCATTTTGTAGAATCACAGAACTGTGGGGCTGGACGGCTCCTCAAGAAATCATCAAGTCCAGCCCCCTACGCTGAGGCAGGACCAAGCAGGGTGCGATTCCCTGCTTGAGGAGACATCCCTGCGCTAGCTGTCATCAAGCTCTAGCGTGTTAAATAGCAGCGTGGCTGCGACAGTTCAGGCAGTGGCTTGGGCTAGCCGCCGGAGTACGTACTCATAGGGTCCGGGTGGGGTTGTACTCGGGGTGGCT